GAGTTTGACAAAAGTGTTTACTAAAAAAATGACCTACCAGTTCAAGTGTGTTTTTTGTGTGTGTTTGTTGAACTCCTTGCCCTGCTGGTTAACATTAAGCTGATGGGAGTAAAAGCCATTTCCACAGAAGTGCCAAGGTTATAAGAGATCACAGTGAGGATTTAAACAGGTGCTATAAAACATGAGTGTTTTCTAATAAGATCCCTTGAGGAACAAACAGCTATATAGAGAAAGGTAGAATACAGGCATCCATGCCAGAGAGAGAGAATTAAAAGCTAATGAGAAGGAAGAAAATAAAAAGTAGAAGATGGATGAAGTTCTGCAAAAGAAAGATTTGCTTTTGTCGAAAGAAAACAAAAGATAATCTGGTCAGTGAAATATAAAGATGTCTGAGATGACGAAAAAGATCAACATTTTTTATAGGTTTAGTTTAAAATGCACAAAAATAATATTTGTATTCATGTTGGTATCATCTTTTAAAACATTTCCAACAAACAATAGATTTACTAACACGTTTATCAAATATCTCTTTAAATTACAAAAAGTAACGTTTGTGTATATCAATATATCTATCTATCTTTCTATCTATCTATCTATCTATCTATCTATCTATCTATATATGAATGAGAGAGGGGGGGGCAACACACTTCTCTCTGTGAAGAATCAGGTACAGTAAAGATATACATTTTTAAAAGTAACTGTATGTTAAAAATGCATATATGAATCTATGATTGTACAAACTATATTTGTGATTTCATATGAGGCTTGCCTTGTTATATTCCTGAAGAGGGCAGCAGAGATACACACTGCATTCTGCTGGATTTCATGGAACTTGACTCTCCTCTACTGTTCATTTGAAAAACATTTTTACCATTTCAGCTGGACTTTTAAAACATACATATACATACATATACATATGATTTTTTTTAATTATTATTTAAAGATATTCTGCAGGTTCATGCATGAATGTGTTTGATTAATATAGTAAAGCCAAATTAATTTTCTTATTTCAGTATACAGAGATGCAGATATGTTTATTTCCTAATATTTCTCTCAAGACACCACAGTGCCCTTCAGAAACATTTGATTTTGAAGTTTAAGTTGTTTCCTTATGATTAAAGATGCTATATTATTGGCTATGTTCGAAAACTAGCTCACTGAATGCTGCATATTATACTGTACAAGCATTCTGCAATAACTAAAAATAGTGTGTCACATGACCTCATAAAGTTGCATGTGAGTTGAACCAGTTGTTAAATAAATATTCCACTTAATTTTGTGTAAAAAATAATAATAATTTCTGAAATTCTTACAGTCTGATAAGTCAAAAAGAGAATGGCAGTAATCTTTCATTACGCGGGAAATGGAAGGTCAAATTGAGTGCATTGCATTGTGGGATACCGTATTCCACTGCTTTGTTGTATACTGCATACTGTTGTATGCTTATCATTTAAATACTTGTTATATTTTATGTATTATGATATTTGTGCCAAGTTGGCTTAAAAATCGCACACACCCAAACTTGAGAAAATGTCATTTAAATGTGGAAACAAAGCATGTGTTTCTGCAAAACAGATCATGCTGAATGTATCATTTGCAATGAAAATAAAATTCAAATCAATTCAAAGAATGCAAACTAGAAAAAAAAGTCAGAAAAAGGCAACTAGTCAGATTTGTAGCTTTCACTGAAATATGCAAAATAAACAAAATTCAAACCAGGCTTTTGCACAAATTCAACTACCAATATCAATTTTACTTTTCATTTCAATGATTATGCTGATAGTACACACACACACACACACACACACAGCTATATTTAAAAAGAATGCAGAGTTTTGGCCCCAGTTTGTAGTTTTTGCTCAAGTCTCCTGTAGATAATAACATGCTATTATACACCCCCAACATCACATTACTGTGGCAACCTGCTGACAACCGACCCATAAACAGCTATTTACTGCTGTTTTCATGTGGACAAACTCAATAAGATCACTCGAGGGATGCAGAAAGTGGTTCGTATCCATTAACAGCTCAAATTAGCATCAACACAAACCTAAAACATTAGCCTCGCTGAGCAGCACCTGGCAATAACCAACAACAACAACAACTTTTAGTTCGGAAATCTGCAAATGAACAGAAATGAATTCAGATGTGGAAATTTGGTTTAGAACCTGTGGAAAATGTATGACTGGTGGTGATTATAAAAAGGTTAATAGGTCTTGTCCCAAATATTGCACTGCATGTCTGTCCACAAGACCACATAGTGTCCCATTTATCATTTTAGGACAACCAAATTAATTTATTCCGCGAATCCTCTTTCACATACAATATCTGTGTTAGAAGAGCTTAGTGTAATGGCTTGAAACTGCTTTTCTTACTTGTTTGGTTTCTCGTGGCAGATTAAAGCTGAATGAAGGTCTTGTTCCGCTGTGTACTGAACACAAGAGGGCAGCAGCTCATCTTTAGAACAAAGCTCACCTTATTCAGAGCAGCGCCATGACAGGTATGAAAGTGAGGCTGTGAGGGATAGACTTACCGTGTTTCCAATGGCATCCGCTGTAAAAAGCTGAATAAAACTGCTAGATACTTACAATTTTCCACAGCTTACATTGTCGGGAGTTTTTTGTCAACTGAAATTTCTTGGAAAGATATTTTTTCAGTGTTTCATGAGCAGAACAATCCGAAAACACATTAAATAACAGTACAGCCCATTGAAGAGATGCATGACTATCCCTCACAGCCTCGCTTTCATTCTCATTAAAAATCAAAGATGGCGCTGCCGTAAAATAAGGCGTATAGATAGCTTACTGTATGCTGACACCAATTTTGAATAGTGTGTGAAGCAGAGTGCATTTTGCAACAGTACGAATGAGAATTCAGTGACTGGTGTCCAGTTTATCGTGGAAGGTGATTTATTTACATTTTGAGAAGATTAATTTGCAAAATACCACAGCAAGTCGACTCATCACTCGAGGCAGGGGACTTTGATATTACTGCGCCGAGTCGAAGTGCTCCCAAGCACTTGCTGTGTTATTCCGCCATACATTACAGCTATCCACTTTACACGCTTATAAAAGTGCAATGTTTTATTTTGTGTCACCATTCTTGCTCGAGTTACACTGCTCGTGTAAATAGGGAAAACATGGATGTGTTTGGTCGCTTCTCTGCTTGGCCCATATTGAATGAACTGGGCTAGTTAACCCTTGTGCATCCTTATGGACATTTTTGTCCTTTTCAGTTTTGTTTTTTTGATCACTTTGCCTGTGTTAAAGCTAACTGCAAAAAACTTGGCACAGGTGTGTATTTTTATTGGAATTTTACTATTTCACCGTCATTTTCTTAAAAAAAAATATGTTTTGCATTAGGTACAAAAAATGAAGAGTTCAGATGCAAAAGCCTCTAAGTGCCATTTGAAATTTTCTTCTAGAATGATCATTTTTATCAAGCTTGTATATTTAAGTTCAGTGATTTCACTTAAATGGCAATGATAATTACCTATTAATTGTTATTTAAGTGAAATTACTGAACTTAAATATACAAGTTTGATAAAAATCATCATTAAAGAAGAAAATTTCAAATGGCATTTAGAGGCTTTTGCATCTGAACTCTTCAAATACTCCCTCTCAGCACCTTTTGGACAAAAATGTCCCCATTGAAACCGATTAAAACTGCCATTTTTAATCCCCGGTTCAGTTAACTATAAAATTATGCAATCTTGTTAAGAGGCTTTCATTCTTATGGCAAGGCTTCAAAATTTTATATTTTGCTATTTTTTTATCAGATGTTGCCATTTTTTTTTTTTTAAGTTTGGCCAATAAAACAAATATCGCTTTATTCCTGTTTTCTGGTTCGGCATACTACAGAGCCAACTGGATAAATTATGCAACAATATTTGTGTGGGTGTGTTGGTATGGATGTCAGAGTGTGGTTAGTATGTGTGTTATAAAAAAATATGTGTGTGTGTGTGTGTGTGTGTGTGTGTGTGTGTGTGTGCGCATGTGTGTGTTTGTAATACTGAGAGAGAAAAACTGCAAATTCCAATCCAATCACTGTGAGCTCCAGTGGGGTTTTGCTGGCACCCAATGGGGAATATATGTTACTACGCCCAAACAAACTGTTACCGAAAGCTCATTTTTTGAGATATCATCCTCAAATTTGGAACACAACCTATTTAGATTTATGGCTTTGATTTTTTTTGCAGTTTTGAGTTCAACCTGATTTAAAAATATATATATTTTATATAAAATATTTTTTTATAAATAATTTTCATAAACTTATACCTATACAACTTTTTTTTTTGGATTTACTTAATATTATTTTTTTACTTCAGCAATAATCTGCAAAGGGTCTTCTTTAAAATGATACCAAACTTAAGTCTGTGCTCCAAAGCGCCACGTTTTTATGAGTTTTTTTGACATGGACATTTTTGTCCTCTTTTTACCTATGTGTAACTTTTTTAAATTGATACACAAGGGTTAAGTGCTATCAAAGTGTCTGGCGTGCCAGAGCGATTGAGTGCACGCACTGAGACGAGAGAGGTATATGCATCAACTCGTCTTAAGGGAATAACATAGTTTAATATGAAAAACGGTGGAGTATCCCTTTAAGCCCTGTGAGAAGGAATGAAACCTGCAACCTGTCAGCAAAAAGGAATATTCTGCATCAGAATTAAAGGGATAGTTCACCCAAAAATGAAAATTCTGTCATTAAATTACTCACTCTCGCTTGATGCGCGAGAACAAACCTCATTGGTTCTTGCTGAAGCTCAAACGTGATGCGTAACAGGAGAATAAACCTCATTGGTTCTTCTTGCAGGTCAAGAAATCTCGCAGATTTCACCAAAAAAGATCTTTATTAATGTTATGAAGATGAACTAAAGTATTATGGATTTGGAACGACATGAGGGTGAGAAATTAATGACAGAATTTTCATTTTTGGGTGAACTATCCCTTTAAGTAAAAAAAAAAGGTTCTGTAAAGTAAATTAGCACAGACGTTAATTGGTCAGTTGTGGACTGAAGATGTTTATTTGGTGTACATTGAAAATCGAAAATTGGCAAACAAAACCTGATGACCTCGAACAAAGTTTAAAATGAGTCCAGGCAATCTGGCTGATCTTCAGTTTTCTAAAAAAAAGAGAAATCTTGCTCTGCAGACGCAAACACGTTACAACAAACTAAGACCTCAAACGTCATTCTGTAGTGTAGGAAAACAATTCCAAAAGTGTTTCAAATATGTTAAGAAAGAAAAAAAGACTACATATTGTAAATACTCGGGCAGTAAAAAGTAGATACACAACATTTTGTGTTAAAATAAGAATATCTGACAAAATATATTTTGTTTACAAAACTTCGATACGCGAGACTACACTTAAAGCATCTGTTAAATGATGTGTTTATATATTATCATACATGTCCATATTGCACGAGAATCGTCGGAAAACTTGGTCCTCCACTTGGCACAGACGGAGAAGTTGTAAGTAAATCTGGTCTGTCTCAACGGGGAGTTGAAGTCAAATATTAAATAGAAATCATACAAGCATCTTAGAGTACATGTAAAAATTAATAACATATAATACTTGGTTTGACCTCCCTCTCTTTCTTTCTCTCTCTCTCCTTTTTGTTCCGTCCAACCCTCTCCGTGCTTTTCCCATCGTCATTTTACTGGTCCTTTGACTCATACAACAGTTTGGCAGCCTAGACAAGCAAGGAACAGCAAACATAATACTACTATAATATAGAGGAGTCGTGAAGTTCAGAAAACACAGTATCATAGTAACAACTATGGCTGGATGAAATTGTGGTGCTTAACATGGTGGCTTTATAATTGGAAATCCAGCTATGATCACATTTTACGGAGTTAAAACATATAATAAAATATATAATATAAAACAGAAGTACGACAATGAGATTTTGTTCCCATTCTAATAGAATAAACCTAAAGCTTGCCTTATGGAGTACTTAATGATTTTGCAAGTAATATAAAATTAAACAAAATTGTGATTCCCATTATCATTTCAAAAGCACCTCTTATTTAGGCTTTGTTTTAAAAAAAAGTTTGATTCACTTTCTTAAATCAGTTCTGTCCCTTTCAAATAATTGATTAAAAACTATTTCCATCACCACTGGACTCTATGTGTGGCAATAAAAAAATAAATATTAAAATAATATTTATAAATAATGTGTAATATACAATATATGCGTGTATAGTATGTATATACAGTATACACACAGACATGCATGTGTGCGCACACACTCACACATACATATACACACATATATTATGTAAAGTCAAATGTTTAGATTAGGGTTATAAATATAATTTATTAAATACTGTAAAAAAAAATACATATACATATATGTGTATATATATATATAGTTTTTTTCTTCTTGCATCAAACATTTTTAATCCATAAAACATAAAATATAAAAAAATATATAAAACTATTTATAAATAAATAAAATAAATGATTATTATTATTTTTTTTTAAATTTACAGTGTATACTTTCACTCACACCTACTTTGTGCATAGCTACAAGCCAGGCAGATGCGGCGCGCTTGTCATCAGCAGTGTCCATGTAGAGATCCTGGAGGTTCTGAGATCCTGGTGGCTTGTACTGAAGCACCATGCCATTGGCACGGAGAGAACCCCCTAAAACAGGTCAAAGGTCAGTGGTGGTATTCGACACAATCCTTTGTCAAGGCAATTTTCAGAGTTTGCCATGACAAATGTTCCTCATGTAGTTAATCGTTGTAATTTGTACATGCACAAATTAGATTTGCGACTCGCATAATACGACAGCCAAATGGTGCTGAAGTCTGAGGGACTATCACAGCGTCACAATAAACATGCAGTTGCAGCCTTTCATGAGACTGCCTTGCTTTGACATCGAGGTCACAGGAAATGAGTGCATGCAAGGTTACTTATATCATATGACGGTAACAACAAGGAAAACACACTAAATGGCACACATTTTAGACAAGGGAAAATAAAATGGACAGCAAGGAGAGATAGAGGGACGCTGACCTTCAGATATTTGATTGTCCAGCAAGCTCGTGTACGAGCATATATCTTTCTCTTAATGCAGAGAACAAGGAAGTTAAAGAAAAGAAGAGAACGTTAAAAGGAAAGAAATATAAATATAAACCAACAGAAAAGATTTAGGTATGCATCACACAGCAAGTAGATGTACATAAATTGGCCCCAACAAGTATTTGGACATGCAAGTCATGCTTTAAATGTTTAACGAACTAAAGCGCATGGTCCCTTTTTCACTACATCGCTACGTACACAAAAACAATCTTTTACATTGTAATCCATTCATTTTTAATATTTGGTTAGTTCGTTGTGGATCGGCCTATAGGCACACATTACTAACGCGTTCTTTAAATAACAAAAGAAATATTGCGCCACCATAGTTTATTGAGGATAACTATTAAGTTTACCTTGACTTATTGTTTAGCAAAGAAACTCATTTTTAAGTTGTTATTTAAATAAACTAATACTTATTCATCAAGGATGCAATAAATTGATCAAAAGATAACAAAGACATTTTAAATGTTGTAAAAGATTTCTATATGAATTACATCCTTTTGAATGTTCTATTCATCAAATCTTGGGGGGAAAAAAGTAGCACGCTTTCCAAAAGATATTAATGGTGCAGTAAGCGATTTCTGAGAAATGCTGTTGAAATTTTAAATAAACGCCTAATCGAACAATTTTTTTGAATATTTAAAAGATGTCTGTTCTGTGTGTGTGTACTGAAAATGTTGTGTTTATAAGCTGTGTAAATAAAAAAATTTCATTGGACCGATCCACGGAACAGCACAACACACCTGTAGCCAATCATCAGTAGGGGGCGTGTCCGCTCATGATGGGGGAGGAGAGAGAGAGAGCAAGCAGGACATTTGTAGAAAGACTGTAGAAAGGAGAGATGGCTGATATATTATCAAGAGGAAAGGTCAGAGGAATATAACGGGAGAAAGACGGGTTACGATCAGGCAATAGTTAGGACCCGTGTTAATACTGGAGAAACTTTCCAGCACTGGAAAGACATTAGAGAGCAGGAAGCCCTGAAAAAGGAGAGACATTAAGGAGAGAACAAGAAGTTTGCGTTGTTTTTGCTCTATACGCGAGTGACATTGGTTTGCTGTTTCACAGAACCAAAATACGCTTGTTTTATACAACAGTTAGTTCTGGTTCTTGAATCTGATTGGCTGAGAGCCTTTTCAAGTGAGAATGTAGTTATTTAGACCTCAAATATGCAACTTGTATATAAATATAGCTCTTTTTTGACCATTTGTTTAAAAAATTTCGGAGATGTGAGCTCCAGATATATATTTATATTAGCACGGCTGCACTGTAAAAAATATTTTCAAGATTTGTTATCACAACATATTTTCTTTTGTCAACTCAACTTTATAATAATTTGTTTAGTTGATATAACTTGATGGTTAAATTAATCTACTTCATTGTATTAACTCACTTTTTCCAGTTCAATCAACTTAAAATTTTAAGGCAACCCAGGTTACTTACTTTTTTTAAGTTAAACCAACAATATTTTTCTACAGTGTAGTAATCACAACATTTTTTCTTTTGTCAAATCAACTTAAATAATTTATTTAGTTCAGATAACATATCATTTTGAGTTTCTGATGGTTAAATTAATCTCCTTCATTGTATTAACTCACTTTTTCCAGTTCAATGAACTTAAAATTTTAAGGCAACCAGGTTACTTACTTTAAGTTAAACCATCAATATTTTTTAGTGTTTAATTCAGCCGTAGGCAATCACAGCCATGATATAGAGCTCATGTATATCGTGTGATATTGCTCATGTATGCTGTTGTGATTCATCCACACTTGTGCGAGCTGTCTGACGTGCCAGCTGTTAATGGTTGCCTATGTTGCATAGAGTGTTTGTTTGGGTGTCGATTTCAAATATTAGTGTTTCTCAGAAATTGCTTACTACACCTTTAAGCAGCACAACTGTTCTCAACATTGACAATAATCAGAAATGTTTCTTGAGAAGCAAATCAACATATTAGAATGATTTCTGAAGGATCATGTGACACTGAAGAGTGTCACAAAATAAAATACATTATAAATATACAAGTTATTTTAAATTGTAATAATATTTCACAACATTACAATATTTGACTGCATTTTTCACATAAATGCACCTTGGTGAGCAAGGGGATTTTTTTTTAAAAAAACATTAAAAATAAATTATACCGAACCCAAACCTTCCATGTGGATATAATGTAATGTAACGCAACTTTTTAGAGAGGGTTTTAGCATCCTCAAATGCTGTACTCAATGTTAGCAAATGTGCCAAGATCACAAAACGTTGCTCTTCTTCACAGTCATTGCATTTACCTAGTATCTACTCACAAAAATCAATAATGTTTATATTGCTCTGACGGTTTTCTCCTCAAAGCCTCACCTCCCGGAGTCGAGCCCTCAGTCAACACCTGCATACTGGAAATGCGAGACAGCTCCACCTCAAAATGACTGTCACCGTCTAGGAAGAGATATCTAAAAGAGCAATAAAAGACACACTTTAAAGGGATAGTTCACCCAAAAAATGAAAATTCTGTCTTCACCTTCAAGTTGTTACAAACGTGTATACATTTCTTTGTGCAGCTGAACACAAAGGAAGATATTTGAAAGAATGTTTGTAACCAACTATCTCTCGCCCCCCATTGACTACAATAGTATTTTTTTCCCCCAAATATGCTAGTCAATGGGGGCGAGATCTGCTTGGTTACAAACATTCTTTCAAATATCTTCCTTTGTGTAAAGAAGAACAAAAAAAGGTTTGTAACAACTTATTATGACAGTAAATTATGAGTTAATTATAAGTAAATTATGACAGAATTTTCATTTTTGCATGAACTATCCCTTTAAGATATGCTAAAGAAGTCAATTTATGAGTGCCTACACGCATACCTGTGATTATTGGACAAGCGGCAGACCATGGTCTCCGATTTCTCCGAGGAACCCACTCTGACCCCGAAGGTTCCTCCTACAATGCAAGAAAAAGGCTGTAAGGTTGTCAGTGTAAATACTTATTGGTGTATTTGACAACATTTTCCATATAAATTTAAGATCTCAGTATTTACAGTACCAAAAGTCCAAGTAGCCATTTTCTTTAGTCACACTGCAACAATAAACACCTTCAAACATCAGTGTTTTCAGATTCAAAACAGACTGTTAGACTTGCATTAGGAGACGGCTCGAAAGTCAGTTACATCCAGATTCAAAAATTGGTGTTGTACAGTAGCATTCAAAAAGTTTGGGGTCTGTAAAGATTTTGAACAAACATAAGAGAAGTCCCTAGGCTGCATTTATACAAAAATACACTCAAAACAGTAATATTGTAAAAGAATATTACAATTTTAAAAAGTCATTTCAAATTTTGAAAATTGCAAAGCTGAATTTTCAGCATCAAGGCAGGGTAGGCTAAAACTATTTTCCCAAATTTGTTTAAACTGTCTTTATATACCAATGCATATCTAAAATGTAAGTACTCTGAAAAGGAGAGTATAAAAATCGAGTGTCTGTAGCCCAGAAGAGAGGGGGTGGGAGTTTCTCTGTTGGATACTTTCAAAATCTCCAATTTTCATATCCTGCCTTTATATGTCACATGATCCTTCAGAAATGATTCTAGTAAGTGGATTTGATGCTCAATAAACATTTCTTATTATTATCAGTGTTGAAAACAGTTGTGCTGCTTAATATTTTTGTGGGATTCCATCCCTGCTGAATAAAAGTATCTATTCCTTTCAAAAGAAAATTCGTACTGACCCCAAACTTTTTAATGAGTGCTATTGAAGAAACATTTTAGAAAAGCACCGATATTAAAATTCTGTCTGATACTGGTAAGTGGATTATTTTCAGGTTGAATAAATCAACCGTTTCAAACATGGAACTAGCTATTTTATAAATTAAACAAAGCAGCAGCTTTGCAGAAAACAGTGATGTCATCATTCACATTCAGCTAAGTTGAGTTCTCATCTAACAGTGTCAGTGTGGTCAAAACAGTAATATTGCTGAATATTAATATTTAACAATGTCGCCTAATTATTTAACATAAAGTTTAACATAAACTTTAAGTCCGTTTTAAATGAAAGCAAAGGTGATTCAAATGTTAAAATAGGCCATCTGAGCATGCAAAATTACAAATTGAATATAGGCTCGGCCCATGCACTGCATCCCTAGTTGTGTGATCGCAGAACTGTGTATTTTACCTGATTCCATCAGTACAGTTTTTGCCAAACACACACTCAAGCACTAGCAGAGTAGCTAAATTCTATTTCCAGCAGCAGTTAAGTTGAGTCAGGTAAAGGATTACTCATTAAGTCAGTGCTGAAGTAAGCTACAGTAGTTATGTAACATACATGCGCTCTCCATGGTCTATAATAGCAACATCGTAAACTTTGAACAGCGAGTCTATGAATGCAAAAGTAGGAATAATCGTGTCAGTGGTCTGAAGCTAAAAGCATTCGAGTGTGTGTTTGTTCAACCCACCGGCAGTGAGCACTTTAAGCTGTTTGTCGTAAAACTCCACCTCTTTCTGTGAAATGAGGCTGCACTCCGCACACTGCCTCACCGGATCCACAAAACACATCCTGGGCAGAGACACTTTCTGACTGCAGCATTTATCGCAGAAACACCGACCGCAGCGCCGGCAGTGATGCTGACATACAAAGAGCATACACGCATTGCTTTAATAAATAAACACAACAACAACAAAATAGTACAGCAAATTATATATATATATATATATATATATATACACACACACTATAGTGTAGCTATTTGAAATATACACTGCCATTCAAAAGTTTGAGATCAGTAAGATTTTTTTTAAATGTTTAAAATAAGTTTCTTATGCTCACCAAGGCTGTATTTATTTGAAAATAACAAACAAATATATATATATATATATATATATATATATATTATTTTATTTATTTATTTTTTTAATCAAACCTCTGATTAAATAATCAGGTCTCTTATGATCACCAAGGCTGCATTTATTCGATTAAAAATTTTAAAAATAATAATATAATATAAAATAATATTTCCAAAATATTATAGGTTTTTTTTATATTTTTAATCAAATAAATGCAGCCTTGGTGATCATAAGAGACCTGATTATTCAATAAAAATAATTGTTGACAAAAAAAATGGCTGTGTACATGCACACATGCTATGGTAAGTGTTATAACCAAAAGCATGGTATGAGTAATTTTATATCATGGTAACAGTATATTACAATATAGTAATTTGTTTATTTATTTTATTTTTTTTTTTAAAAGGATGTGAAATAAAAAATATATATAGTTTTTAATTTACATAAAAGTGTTCTGTTAGGGCTTAAAATTCTATACTATCACATAACCACAAAGACAGAGATATAAACACACTAAAAGAACAGTCGGTAACAGGAAAGCAAAAAGAAAAGAAAAGGGGGAAACAGGAAAGGAAACTAGCAATTACATACTATTGCAAAACTAAACACAAAGACACTTAAGGACAAATCAAACTGAAAGGAAGACACTCATAAAGGCTGTCTCTATAAGGAGCAATACAGCAACTACCATTGTCCTGTATCTACGAATCTTCATAACTCTGTACGAAATTACTCTTAACACAAGATGAGTGCTCATGCTTACCTTCCTGGTGATGAAGTCAAACTTAGCATCACACTGCATACATCTGGGGCACTAAGAGAGGACACAAATGAAACATGAATTTCTAAAGGCTCTTTATTAAACCACAGACATAGAGAAGAACAGGCACCTGTATGACTCTATGTGCTGCAAGAGTCCATGGCATTTCATTAGGAAAGTGTAGCAGAACACCCTAGAGATTAAGCTGAATTTAGTTCTCATATCTTGGCGTAGCAGCAATACAATCAAGGCCAAAACCTTTAAGGCAAAATACACAGGGATTTAAGGTAATGTTATCTGACAGCGGCCACAGTAAACCAGAAGCAGCTTGTTTGAGTCTAATAAAACAGTTCAGTTCTGACCACAGTTTCATGTCTAGCACTTAAAGGGATAGTTCACCCAAAATGACATTTCTGTCATGAATTATTCGCCCCCATGTCGTTCCAAACCCGTAAGACTTTCATTCACCTTTGGAACACAAATAAAGATCTTATTGATGAAATCGGAGAGATTTCTGTCCCTCCACTGATAGCTACGCAATTCGATGCTTCAAAAAGATAATAAAGAGATCGTAAATCTAATCCAAATGAATGGAGCAGTTTAGTCCAAATTTTCTGAAGAGACTTGTCGCTTTATATGATGAACAAACAGATTGAAATAAGGCTTTTATGAAGCTCAACCGAACCTGCTTGACGCTCATTGGTTCTTGCTGAAGCTCAAACGTGCTGCGTAACACGAGAATGAACCTCATTGGTTCTTGCTGAAGCTCAAACATGCTGCGTAACACGAGAATGAACCTCATTGGTTCTTGAACATCAAGTGAACATGCTTGAGCTTTCGTTTACCACAACTGATGTGTGAGCTGATGAATGTGTATATGTAAATAAAAGCTTAAATTCAATCTGTTCATCATATAAAGCGATCTTTTGTCTTAAAAAATCTGGACAAAACTACTCAATTCATGTGGATTTCATTACGGGTTTGGGACATGAGGGTGAGTAATTAATGACAGAACTGTAATTTTTGGGTGAACTATCCCTTTAATACATAATCCTACAAATAAAGCCCTAAATATCATGAGCTCAGCTATATAATTTAAACATGCTTATATAATATGTACGGTTTCGACAATATCCTACTCCTCCCAAAATCAAATAATTTTAAGTCTTTTAGTTCACAGTATTGTAAACCACCATTCCTGTCAGCGGGCAAAGTATGCAGGGAATTTCTTGGACAGTTATGTCTTCCTTTACATTTAATGCGAGAATAACACGAAGTGTGTCGTCCAGATATAAGATTATGCAGTTTCTGTATACCTCAGCATAATATAATGAATGGGCGTGGCTAATCATATGACAGTCTCTTGCTTTTCCGTCACACACGAATCATTAAAGAAAGTTTGTTCATGGCACATACCCCAAAAATCAATCAATAACACATATACGAGTTGTTTTCCAGTGTTTTTGTCCACATTCATGGATGTTCGTCGCTCGCATAACGTTACACACTCTAAAGCAGAGAGATGCATTGCTTTCCATGCATCTGAGATAATGTCTGTTTAAATGATCAAACACTAGTCATCTTTTTTCTTTGTAACACCATCTGGGAAATTTGCTAAATACTTCCTACTGGTTCCTGTTGCCTTGAGGAGCAAACAACGCCCAAAGACAGAGACAGACCGACCAACCACCACAGGTTCAGCATCATCTTCATCTTCATCTGTGATCAAGATTCATTACCTCTTTATCCGGAACCCACTGCGGCTCATCCAGGGAAAATGGACTGTTGAATGCGCCGTTTTCCGGTACCATGCGGAGTCCGCTCGGGCTCCGGACCAGCTTTTTGCCGTCAGGCACCGCGGACATGTTTGTGTTTATGAGTGCGCAGCTGCTGTTGAGAAGAACACCACAGACATCAGCGGCAGCACAAGACTCACACATGCACACCTTCAGCATAAGAGTCCTTCCTTAAACCATTATATTAGTGTATTGTGAAGTATTTGGACACCTAGGGCACCATTAAAATACGAATTCCAATTACAAATTGCAAATATTTAATTTTAAACGAGCCTTTAAAAATATTTAAAAATAATAATGATCTCGGCAACTTTGATTTACAGATTTTAAAATAAGAGTCCTTTTGGATTTTATTATTATTATTATTTTACTGCTACTACTGTTACAAATGTTAGTCATTGCACTACCTTAAATGTTCAAATTTTCCCAAATCCTAACAGTGTAAGTATTGTCTAACCATAGAGTAGACTGTACAAAATTGTGGGCACTGACTGAACCCCTACTGCACTTTTCACTAGGGCACAATTAAAATTCATGCATTTCCAAGAATTCCTGTCAATTGCAAAACTAAAATAAACCAATACTTAATGCAAATGTTTTGTTTGAAGCAAGCCTTTAATTATTATTATTATTATTGATAATTATTATTATTATTATTATTATTATTAATCTAGTCTATGATTTACAGAAAGTGCAAAAGTATGAGTCTTTGATTTTACAATAAGAGTCCTTTTGATTTTATTTTATCCTCTTGACGATGATTATTATTATTATTATTATTATTATTATTATTATTATAACAACAAAATACACAATTTTGAAATGTATGTGATATTTTAGAGAACTGTGCAATGCCTTGATCGGCTTTCATATCGGTCCTGTCAGTTTTTATTTGTTTTTAGCTTTTTTTGAAATATCACAAAGCTTTGAAAACACCAAATAAAATACAGTGTCAGTAAAAGATTTAATTGAATATCGGCTGATCATTTTTCTTTTTTCTTAATTTCAGTTTTGCCGGTGTCTGATGTGCGTTAGCAGATCTCAGAGTGATCTGATCTCAGATTCTGTGTTTCTTCGAGCCTATGCTTCGAGCGCAATGAAAGTGCCACCGTGGCCTTAAAAAGACAAACCTACATATTCTCTAATTGCAGCTGTGCTTGATTTTCTTCACCTACGTTACAGTGTGTGTTGACATGTAAACACACACTATCGCGTTATCGGTATATATGTAGTCCAGTGTGTTTTAGTGTAAGTGTTCAATCTGGATCACCGCAGCAGGAGTAGCAAAGGAGGGAAGAGAGAGGAGATCTCCAGAAAATTCCTCCAGTCCAAAAACAACATGTTCTCCAAATTTACCTCCATCCTGCAGCATGCCGTCGAGGCGGTGAGAGCTTCTAAAAACTTATCTGACCACATTTAAATGACTGCTTTACTAGGGAAATGAGAAATGGCAAAGTGAGAGTCGGTCAGTGTTGATGTGCTGAAGGCCTGCTAGCTAACAGCTAACAGCTTATGTAGTAAATAACACATGACAGACAAAACTTCTGAAACGATTTTAACAATCTCACCATGCGTGTTTCGGGGTCTGTATCCGCTCGATTGTGGTTTGTTGCGTTTTTAATGTTGTTCTGGCCATTTTAAGCCTTTGTTTGCTGTGTATTTTAGCAGCTGTGCTAAATCTTGCGCAATTCGTGGATTGTTCGGTTAAAGGTCTTCGTGTACGCGAGCCTCTTGGGATTTTAATCAATGCAAAGTAGTAGTTATCACATTTTAGGAGAGATATTGCCTGTATAATGTGACATGTACAGTAGATGTACCCGTGATAGCCAGTTAGCATGCTAGCGGCTCATTTGCAGGATGTAAACAAAACGGCTGTTACTAGGACACGCGTACGAATCAAACTAATTTACGATTCTTTCTTAACATTTTTATATGGTAGTATCTAAATGTGTGTGTAATAAAATAATATTAAGACAGTCGTACATTAGTTTTGATTCGTACGCGTGTCATAGTGACAGCCGTTTTGTTTTAAGTTACAATGTACATACATAAAAAGCATTTAAACACTTATTTAATTCACATTCACAATTTCTTTTTGAATTTCATTCAATACATTAAAATATAAAATTAAAATAATGACAAAATGTCAATGAATTAGCACTTATTTTAAAATAGGATAGCTCAAACCCTGTTTACATGCAATTTGTTTTTGTTTTTTACAAAAGTTTTAAACAATAGATATATAATCACAATTCTTTTTGGTCAATATGGAAATCTCAACTATTTAACACAATTTTTGGTTGGCAATATGATCAACGTCTCATTTCAGTGAAATGTCACAATCGTTAATACTTCAGCAAAAATGTATACTGGGTTATCTAATGTAAGAAAAAGGTCCTCAAAATAATTACTCAAGACAAGTAAATAGTCAGCAAAGCAATGCAAGAACAAGTGTTTAACAGTGTTTTAAGTTTTTCAGGAAGGTGTACTGAAGGTATCTGAATATCTAATGGTGATATTCAGATAAGGAATAGCTTACAACAACAAAAACAATGAATAATCAAATGTAAAATAACACTGCGTAGTCTTATTGTACAGTGTACACATTAAATATAGAGTAATCCTTATTAAAGCTCCTTAAGTTATTCGGTCAAGATCAGTGAGTGATTTTCCTTTGTCATTTGTTGTTTGACTATCATTAATGACCACAACAGGTTTATTAGGCTGCTGTCACTTTAAGAGCTAATGAACATATCCATTATTCAGTTGCACATGCATTTTCTTTCTTTGTTTGCCGAGGACAGATGATTTTTGTTTTTAACTTAAGTGTCCAAATACTTTTGGATTGCAATGGTCTAATATGTTATATACATTCGTTATGTTGCTGTAAAGTGCATAATCATATAGAAAGAAGAAGTAGGCATTTTATTTTTATCATAGTTTGTTTTATTTTTCAGCTTGCGCCCTCACTGCCATTGCAAGAGGACTTTGTCTATCATTGGAAGGCTATCACACATTATTACATAGAAACCTCAGGTAAGAGATCACCTGCAGTGATAGTCAATGTACTTTATTACCAGATAACCACACATCATCTTCTGTTCATGTTTTGTAGATGACAAAGCCCCAGTGACAGACACCAACATTCCCTCCCATCTGGAGCAGATGCTGGATATCCTGACCCAGGAGGAGAGGGAGAGAGAGTCGGGAGAGACGGGACCCTGTATGGAGTATCTTCTCCACCACAAGATCCTGGAGACGCTCTACACACTAGGCAAAGCAGATGTCAGTGCTTTAGTTAAAAGTAGTGCTTTTCACTGGTTTCTGTCATTAGCATAATCAAAGTTTTAAAATTATGACTAAATATTAGGAATGTTTTTATGTTTAGAATAAGGCTCAGTGACAGATTTGTAATGCTCAGACACTCATCAGTTCGTTTCAGGAGAGTTTCTCATTAGCATAATTATGCCAGAACTGCTTATAGTGCCTAAAATTGCAGCCAGATCACTAAATTTGGGAAGAAAGCAAAGAGTAAAAATTATGTGTGGCCAGTTGAGACCTGCTCATTTACTGAGTCATGTTTAGTAAGAGAGACTGTGTATCTAATGATTAATGTTTTGACACGCACTATAGTACCGCTAAGTTTGGGTTGATTCACTATTTTTTTTTTTTTTTTGAAAGCAAGCAAGTTATTATTCCTTTTATTCAACAAGGATGCATTCAATTATTCAAAAGATTATGTTTCAAAAGATTTTTCGCAAAAGTATTAAGCAGCGCAACTGTTTTCAACATTGATAATAAGAAATGTTTCTTGAGCAGTAAATCATCATATTAGAATGATTTCTGAAGGATCATGTGACACTGAAGACTGAAGTAATGATGCTGAAAATTCAGCTTTGCATCACAGTCATACATTACAGGAATAAAACATTCGATTTAATTTAAATAGTATTACTATTTCACAATCGTACTGTTTTTTGACCAAATAAATGCAGTCTTCTTAATGAGTGTAAGAAACTGCCTTCAAACATTAAAAAAGAACCCAAACTTTTGAACGGTAGTTTAAGTTAAGTTAGTTATTATTTTAATACCTGTGATTATTTGATCTTGATCAAAGTACAAGTAAAGCAACTGTCTTTTTGTGTGTGTGCGCTCTTCCTTAGTGCCCTCCTGGAATGAAACAGCAGGTTTTGAGTTTCTACACCAAACTGTTGGGGCGAATTCGGCAACCACTCCTCCCTCACATCAACGTGCACAGACCTGTACAGGTGATACGAATTACTGTCTTCACACTTTAAACACAGAAAAATCCCTTCATCCAAACCGACCATCCATGATGTATCCTCAGAAAATGGTCCGCCTTTGCGGGGAGGTTCTAGCTGCTCCTACAGAGAACGAAGAGATCCAGTTTCTGTGTACCGTCTGTGCCAAACTCAAGCAGGACCCATACCTCGTCAACTTTTTCCTGGAAGTGAGTGTTGTTGGATGTGTGTAGGATTCTCTGTCTGTGTAAGCAGCATATATTAAAGGGATAGTTCACCCAAAAATGAAAATTCTGTCAGTATTTACTCACCCTCATGTTGTTCCAACCCCGTAAGACCTTCGTTCATCTTCGGAACACAAATTAAGATATTTAAGATATTAAGATCACTCCTGCATACAGTCCATAGGCTTCTTGAGGGACTGGCTCTTGCTGTCCTCGAAAAGTCATTAAAGACATCGTTAAAATAGTCCAAGTGACTACAGGGGCTCAATCTTAAGTTTATCAAACGACGAAAACACTTATGTGCGCAAAAAAAACAACTAAAATAACGACTTTATTTCAACTATTCACTTCCTTCTCCATGAGCCTGTAAGTCAGTTAACGTAGTGTGATTGCGTAGAGCTACGTCACACGTAGGCTCACTATTGGCCGACGCTGGTCATGTGTGTGTGATGCGTGTGACGTACAATAACAGAAGCTTACGCTATTAAACTAGTAACCTGACTCGAGGCAGAGAGAGAAATAAACGAATAGTTGAAATAAAGTCATTATTTTTGTTGTTTTTTTGCGCACAAAAGTGTTCTCGTCGTTTGATAAACTTAAGATTGAGCCCCTGTTGTCACTTGGACTATTTTAACGATGTCTTTAATGACTTTTCGAGGACAGCAAGAGCCAGTCCCTCAAGAAGCCTATGGACTGTATGCAGGA